TCTTCACTATCTTCTATTTTATTGGAATATAGGGTTTCAAAATACTTTCTAATTATCTTCTGTATTTCTGTAGTGTCTGTTGTGATATTGCCCTTTTCATCCTGTATGTTAGTAATTTGAGTTCTCTCTCTTCTTCTCTTCGTTAGCATGGCTAAGGGTCTGTCGATCTTATTTATTTTTTCAAGAACCAACTTTTAGTTTTATCAATTTTTTCAATGTTTTTTTTTGTTTCAATTTCGTTGATTTCCGCTCTGATTTTAATTATTTCTTGTCTTCTTCTACATTTGCTGTTTTGCTCTTCCGTTTCTAGGATTTTAAGATGTAGTGTGAGTTCATTTATTTGTTGGTTTTTTCTTTTTTGGAGGAATGAACTCCAGGAAATGAATTTCCCTCTTAAAATTGCTTTCATTGTATCCCATAGATTCCGGTATGTTGTGTCTGTATTGTCATTTATCTCTAAGAATTTTTTTATTTCCTCCTTTATGTCTTCTGTAACCTATTGAGCATTCAGTAACGTATTGTTCATTTTCCAGGTGATGCAGGATTTTTCCTTCCTTCTTTTATCATTCATTTCCAGTTTCATTCCATTATGGTCAGATATGGTGCATGGTATTATCGCCACACCTTTATATTTACTGGGAGTCGCCCTATGGCATAATATATGGTCTATCTTTGAGTAGGATCCATGTGCTGCTGAGAAGGACGTGTATCCAGTTGATGATGGTTGATATATTCTATATATGTCGGTTAAGTCTAGGTTATTGATTGCGTTATTGAGTTTTATAGTTTCTTTGTTCAGCTTTTGTCTAGAGAATCTGTCCAATGGCGAGAGCAGTGTGTTGAAGTCACCCATAATTATTGTGTTGTGGTGTATTTGACTCTTGAACTTGAGGAGAGTTGTTTTATGAACGTTGCAGCTCCATTGTTTGGTGCATACAAATTGATGATTGTTATGTCTTGATGGTGGATGGTTCCTTTTAACAGTATATAGTGTCCTTCTTTATCCCTTTTGATTAACTAGGTTTGAAGTTGATTTTATTCGATATGAGTATGGC